GAGCAGAAGGAAATATGATCAAGGCCAAGCGTAAAGGTCAATAAGGTCGGCAGTGCCCTGTGTTTGGTACTCTGCACACCTTCTCCACAAGATCGGTAAGTATACCAATTTGGTCACCTAGTCAATATAGGGTCGAGTTCTAGAGGAGAGGGAAATCTCTGGGCGGCGGACCGAGGGAGCGCGGGCAGAGGCGGCTGGGGAGACAGAAAACCATAAGTATCCCGCGACGATGACAAATAATTCCATGCCTATGATTTGCGCAGAAAAAAACAAGTTGCATCTGATACTCGTTGATTTAATGCTGTCACTACATGGAATATCTAAGATAGTCATAAATAGAATATTGAAGACATTATTCGAAATTTGTGATGGTCAACTCAAATATCCCATTTTGTGTCTATCATTACATCATTTAGTGTTTGTCATAATTCCATGCCCATATTGGCTGAGAAAAAATAATTGTATCTGATGGGTTGATTTAATGATGTCCACTGAAATGGAATATATGATATCACTAAATAGAATATATGATAGGCATACTTCGAATTGGACTGTCAACATAAATCCATTTGTTCCCACCTCCGCCGCCATAAACGTGTTGATATTTTTGGTCACGGCCGTGGGAAAAACTCACCGTGTGCGCATGAACGATGACTTGTTTCTCACTCTTCGCTATATACCAATGCGCATGCGTTCTTCACTACTCAAAATGAATGCGCCCAGTGAAATAGCAGCGACATTGTTGATTGGTTATTGTTTACGAGTTGTGGAACAAGTGCTGAGCTGATTCCTCGGTGCGCGGTCTACGAACGCGAGAGGAAACGACTCAACAGTGTGATGACATTGGCCACGAGTAACTTTGTGTTGAGGCTGCGTTCCCCCTCGTGTGCGGTGACGCGTCGCTTAAATAATGCATCGGGCGTCTACAAGCTTCCAAATACGATATATGTGAAACAAATTATTGCATGCAAAACAGTCCTGAGGCGGTGTTCAACAGAGGCGAACGTTCGATGCAACGGCTCGCTGCACCAACCAGCGCCTCTTTGAACGACACACGAGCGCTCGCTGGTGCTCGCTTTAATCGCAAGATGCGCCCCCATGGAGGGTTACTGCAGGCAGATTTTAAATGCCTCGAACATACGTAAACGAATTGCAGACAGAAATTGATACGCATTGAATTTAGAATGAATGAATGAATGAAAAATGAAATGAAAGTTGAAATAGATGCAAATTGAAGTCAGAAACGTTTGCCCGTTCGCCATCTGGAAAAACAACTCGTCCTGCGCTGCGCGAAGCAGGCCTCTGGGAGCTTGGCGCGCGCGCTGAGCTCGCGAGCGTTCGCGTCTGCCTGAACACGTCTCTCTGTACAGCGATGCATTAGCGCTCTGAAAACAGACAGCGGCCAATCCGCACACACACAGCACACACGCACGGCAAACGCACCCATCGAGCGACGCACCACGCACACACAACATATACATACATACATACATACATACATACAATACATACATAACGCATGGCCACGCACTTCAACACGTGCACACACACACACGCAAGCAAGGGCAGGGACCACACCAGCGCGCGCGCACGCGCACAAGCACACACACGCGCACGCCTACACACACACCCAACACAACACACACCGCGGCGCGTAGGCCACACACAGGCACACACACGCAACCGATGCTAAGGCACACACACACGACAGGTCGCTCATCAGCACGCCGCATCACACACATCACGCGCACGCACACACACACACGCCACGCCACACTGCGCAGCACACCTACACACACCGCACGCACACACACGTGCGCGCGACTCGCGCGGCGTCACACACACACAGTCCATCACACACACAAACACACACACACACACACACACACACATCACACACATCACACACTACACCAAACACACACACACACACACGCACACACACACGCACGCTACGCACGCACACACACACACAGACACATGCGCGCGCGC